GTAATGAAACAAGCTATATGAATGGTTGAATGTGAAGCTGATGATGTGCCCTGTAAACTTTCACTCAATCCAAAATAAAAACATTTAATACAAAAAAAAAATGAATTTAAGATTCAATTAATTAAGGTTCCTGGGATCATCAAGGGAGAAAAGCAGAGATCGGGACCCTACCCAGACAAACAGTGATGCCAGAGATGGAGGCAGAGATGATGACGTGGAGAGATGGAGTGGCTGGGGACTGTAGACCCAGAGAGGGTGAGGGGCTATGTGCTGATGACCGAGGGGGGTGGGGGATGGGGAGGCAGACTTGCAGGGGATACCCTTTGGTTGGTTGATTATGCATGGAGGGGATTGTAACCATGGCAATGAAATGATATCCGATAGGATGAATGTAAAGCTAATGGTGTCCCATGTAAACTATCACATTTCACAATAAGACATTAAAAAAAAAAAAAAAGACTCAATTAATTATTTGGGCCCAAAGGAAACCTACCTGCCCAAACTTCTTGGTCGTAGCAAATATGACTAAAAGAACACTTCTCAGACTTATTTGTGGGCTTTTGTTCTCCAATCTAATTCTACACTAAGAATAAAAATTAGCTTAATTCCAAACCTATTAATATTCAATTTGATTAGAAAACAAACAAACATGACTTGCATTTCAGAAGAAATTAGTTAATAATAGAGATTTTCTCTAAAGTATCCTGATTTTGAATATTTAAAACAGAACATTATGTTTTCCTTTGTAAACTTACCTGATATAAGTAATCTTCAAACACAAAATAATAATCATCATTGCTAGCCGTCAGCTTCACATCCTATAATTCACAGAGAGAATACGGAGAATTCAAGCACCTACATAATACAATATCTCAGGTATAAATAAAACACAGGGAGCAATATTACAATAATATTATTATTTTATAGGATTATATTCTGTATAATATAGGATTATATTACTCAACTAATACGAGGCACCTTTAAAAAGTATGTGGACAAATTCCATTATCTCTCAATTCCATTTTTCCATGGATTTTTGAAGCCCCTTTCCACATGTGACATTATGTCATCTCCAAGTCTTCATTCCTTTTTAGCTCCAATGTTGTTGTTGTTAAGTGCCATTGAGTTGGTTCTGAATCATAGCAACCCTGTAAAGGGTTTCCGAGGAGCTGCTGGTGGGTTTGAAGCACTGACTTTGAGGTTTAAACCGACCTTGTGGTTCAGTGCATTATCCTGCAGTGCCACATCAGGTTTCCATTAGTAATTCCTTATTACTTATCCCAATTTCATTTCCTTTTACTCTAATATCTAGGCATTTTCAAAATGAGAAAGAAAAACAAAGGCAGCCAGAACATTCAGAGGCAATCCTAATTATCCAGTCCCCAATGACGGTTCCATTCCTTGAAAACAACAAACTCTTAACATACCTTTGGGATTATTCATTTCAGAATCACTCCTTCCTGGAAGGCTAGTAGTAGGACTTGCTGACTCATGAACTCATTCATTAAAGGCCACTTCACTGACTTCTCTGGGATAGAGTATTGGCTTCTTCCTCTAAAGTTACTCAGTCTCATGCTTCCTGAGTGAAGACGGCTTTAAACATTTCTACTCTTTCCATAGGAATGTGGGTTAAGCCCCAGTATTCTAATTGTTATACAATTATAACTCAGCATGGTACCTGGTACATACCAAGTATTCAATACAGAACTGACAAATGAATAAATGAAAAAATAAAAATGATTAAAAGTATAAAATTAGTTTTAAAGGAGGCAGCGCATCACTATCACCTTTTGCTGGTAATAAAAATAAAAGCCGCCTTTACATTTTTCCCAGGATGTCTCTGACTCTTTTGTCTGGTGAGTTAGGCCTGCTCCCTGTCTACTTCCATGTAGAGTACAGGCATTCCAGCAGAGCTGACTAGGATTTGAAACCCAGCCTTCTCTTTTTCTAGCTGTATGCATGTGGGCAGTAAATTCAACCAGAATCACTTCTTCTGTACCTAGAGAAGAAGTCTACCTCAGTGTGTACAGCAGCTGGCTGTGTGAACCGTCACCATTTGTCTAGGAGAGGACCAGTCAGAGTGGGTAATTAGAAAATTATTTTATAAATTAATCAAAACCCTTCCTCAAATCACATATTGCATTAGGTAAATTTGCTGCACAAGACCTCTTTAAAGAGTTCAAGAGCAAAGGTATCAGTTTGAGGACTAAGGTGTACCTGACACAAGTCATGGTATTTTGAATAGCTTCATATGCATGTGAAAGTTAGACAGTGAATAAGGAAGACTGTAGAAAAATTGATGCCTTTGACATGTTGTTGGAGGAGAATGTTGAGAACTAACAAATCTGTGTTGGTGGAGGTACAACCAGAATGCTCCTTAGAAGCCAAGATGGCCAGACTTCATGTCTAACACTTCAGCCATATTATCAGGAGGGACCAATTCCTAGAGAAGGACAACATGCTTGGTAAAGTGGAGAGAAAACGAGGCAGACCCCCAATGAGATGGCTTGGCACAGCGGCAGCAGCAATGGGATCGAGCACAGCAATGATTGTGAAGTTTATGCAGGACTGGGCAGTGATCTGTTTTGCTGTGTAAAGGGTTGCTATGAGTCGGCGCTGACTCAACGGAACTTAACAACTCACACCCCTCACTTAAGTAGACTTCATCTGTTTATAAGTTCGCAGTTTTAAACACGGGTTCTGAATCTTACTTGTATCTAAAATCTCTAGATCTCTACCAAAACCCAAACCAATTGCAACCAAGTTGATTCTGAGTCAGAGTGACCCCACGGGCAGCGGAGAACTGCTTGGTGGGGTTTCTGAGACTAAGTCTCTACGGGGCCGGGCAGTCTCATCCTTCTCCTAAGGAGCAGCTGGCAGTGTGAATCGTCACCATTTGTCTAGCAGCTCAGTGCCTATCCCCAGCACAACCAGGGCTCCTTAGCTAGAAGAACACACTCATTTGGATCCAATATATAATCAATTCTTTAAGTAGTGATTAATAAGTTAGAATGAATCATTTGAAAAATTAGAACCCCAGACGAGCAAAAGCAAACATTGTTGGTCTCTAAGAGGTCTGTAACACCCCTAGTGAGGAGGAAACATAGGAGAACAGTTACAAAGAACACTATACAAATGCATAATAATATAGTTCAACCCTTGTGCCAACATTTAGCTGGAATTGTTGAGCACAGCAGCATCAGGCCAGACAGAATGAGTCATGGATGGCTCAGGAGACACTCTGACTTTGTGCTAAGTCTGGAAAAGTAAAAGACACATTCACAGAAAAGGAGGGAGCCAGGTTTCTGAGTCAGAAAACAACATGGACAAAGGGAGAAATAGGCTTTTACAAAATGGGGAATATTGCTTTTCAAGGCATGAAAATGGACTCTTGTGGAGCAACATATCTTAGCTATTGCAATGGTTTGTGTCCCTCCAGAGCTTAGACCTACCCCCTTAAAAGAGTATTATTTAAGTATTTAATTATTCTCATTGGTGATGGTGGTAGTTGTGTGTCATGGAGTCAGTTCCAACTCATAGCGAGCCTGTATAGGGTTTCTGAGGTTGTAAATCTTTACAGGAGCAGAAAGCCTCAGCTTTCTCCTGCAATTTTTCTCATTATAGAAAAATTAATTTCTCTTCTTAGGGGATGAGGATGAGAAAAGGTTGGGAACACTGGTATATTGTCAAACATAGGAACTGAAATAAGTATGGCTGTAAGGCCAAAAACTAAACTATCCAGAGACTGTTACACATTTAGGAAGGGTTTGATGATTTTCTGTATTTCATATTCTCTTGCTCCTTTCATTTTTTTTCACCACTAAAGTAATCCCACCTTGCTTTTACTTAAATTAAGATGAGCCTTTACAATAGGAAAGGAGCCTCTGGGTGGTACCACTTGGCTACAAACCAAAAGGTTGGTGGTTGGAATCTGAATCTACTAAGAGGAACCTTGGAAGAAAGCCCTGCCACAGCCATTACAAACCGAAGTTCTATTCTAAAATGAAGGGGACTGGAATCAATTGCATGGCAACTGGTTTTGTGTTGTTTTTGACAGCAAGATGTAATAAAACTTCAAATCACATTTTAAAATGCTCACCCCTTCAGGACTGACTTTAATAATGATTAGAATGGCTCCGACAAGATCAGCAGAGCCCAATAACATAAGACCAGGAGGATCACTGAAAATTCTTAGGTCATGGACAGAGACGGAAGTGATTCCACAGAAACATATATTCATGTACTTGAGCTCTGACTCGAACTGAAATTATATTATTAACAGAAGTCTCATGCTTTTCTGAGTGGCAGTTGTGAGACTTCACTGAAGAGAAGGTCTGGAAGACTATGTGGCCGCATGACCCTTTGGCCTAAAAGCTGACAGCGACACAAATCATCGAAATCGAGAACCTCGGTGAGACTTTAGACTTTTCATCAAAGAACTGTTATCTTGTTAACACGCCTTTACTTTACTTACTCAATAGCTTAGTGGCCAAGACTCCAGCTCTGAAGTCAGATTGTCTGGGTTCCAATCTTAGTGTCACGATTTAACATGCACACTTAAATACAAATTTTCCATCTTTCATTATCTCAGTATCCCCATTTGTGAAGTGGTATAATAGTAACACTGTTTGTTTTGCTTTAACATAATGTGTTAACAGGAATGTGGTAGTTCCGTAGGATAAGGACTGAACTGCAAACCACAAGGTTGGTGGTTCGAGCACACCAGCCATTCCTCAAGAGAAACATGAGGCTTTCTGCTCCTGCCAAGATTTACAGCTTCAGACACCTACAGAGGGCCGCTGTATGAGGTGGAACCAACTCCATGGCATTTAATCATAACAACAAATGGGGTGAGAACATCAATTTACTCTTCTGTGGCTGGCAAGTGGAGGAACAATGCCAATAGAACACGGAAATTGTTCACATACAATTTTTGTTTGTTTTTCAAGAGGAAAGCCAGAGTAGCAGTAGAAAACAGCCCTCAGAAGGAAAGAAAGAGCATTTAGTGGTGATGTTGTGCAGTCGGGAGCTCTATCAAATGTATTTGAAGACAAATATGGAACAGCATTTCCCCAAGGATAAAGTTCAGGAGGGTCAGGAAAGTAGGAGGACTGGAAACAGGAAACACAAGGAGGAAGTGAGACCAATGGTGTTACCTTGTGGGGATTGCATTCAATGACAGGGAACAAAATATCCAAGAATTGTTGAATGGAAAACTGATCTGCTTTGTCAACCTTCACCCAATTCACAAACGTTACAAAAAGCAAGCAAGCAAGCAAGCTGAGTGTCTGCCGGGGGGCTCCTTCCCAGGGGCGCGCAGAGAAGCCCAAACAGGTTGTAGTTGCTGCGCTTGCTCCAGTGCCCACTTGAGCAGCAGCCCCACTTCCATTGGTGCTATTTTAGGGGTTCTACGGCAGTTCAAGCTCACCAGCTGCTCCTCGGAAACCTTATACAGGGTGGCTATGGATCGGAACCGACTCGACGGCACTTCACAACAACAATAACAACAACTTTGATTATGTTTGTACATCTTTGACAGTTCCTAAAGGTAGTCTGCCTTGGCTATCCAATTCAGCTCCCAAACTCCCAAGGACTGTTTTTGTGAGTACTCTAGTTACAAAATTGCAAACGTTTTTAGAAGTCTATCCTAATCCTGGAATCCTGATGTGGCTCTGTGGGTTACTGCACTAGATTGCAAAATTCATTTGAACTGCAAGGGCTGCGGTTCAAGCTCACCAGCCACTCCTTAGAAAACCTATACAGGTTCACTATGGGTAGGAACCAACTCGATGCCACTTAACAACAACATCCTAACTGTATTTTTCCCATAGTCCTGTTACTTGTAATGTGTGATTTTTTTCCCTTATGCCTTGCCAAACAAAAAATAAAACATTTATAAACGCTAGTTGCTGGTAAGATGAAATGTAATCTATGTAAAAGGTTTGGTATACTTTGTGGCCCATAATAAGCAGTCATTAAATGTTATAGTTCACTGGACTGCTAACCGCAAGTTCTATGGTTCGAGCCCAAGCACTACTCCTTGGAAATCCTAATAGGTTCGCTATGAATCAGAACCAACTCAACAGCAGTTAACAACAAAAGTTAGTAGCTGTTGTTATGATTACTGTTAGCCAGGCAAATCTTCAGGTCTTCAATGTCTAAGCCTTTCCTCGAATTCTGAGACCTGGGATAATCTGCCCCTCTCTGTTATCTGTCAAATCCTAAATTTAAACTCCAAGTCTTGCAAACAGCCTGATTATAAACCCAGAATCAGTCAGAGGAAAGCATATACACTCCCCTTTCAACTTGATTATCCAAGAGTTGGCGGCAAGAACTAATGTATCCCCAGCATAAAAAAGAGACGGTGCTTAGTCATACGTCTAAGATCTAAAGATACTAGAAAACTTTAAATGACTTCAATATAAAAAAGATTCAACAAGTAGGCCCTTAAGAATCATGAAATAAGAGATAAAAATGTTACAGTCTGATATTCCTTTCAGAGTAAAGAAATTTTAAAATAGCTTCAATGCAGAAATATGAAGCAAAAAGGCCTTACAGAATTCTGAGACAAGATGAACATGGTGTAGTCTGATTTCTTTCAGAGCATGTACACAGAGGAGGACTGCCTTGTAGGGTGTTCAAGGCAGACTCCCAGCCTGCCTTTGGAGGCAGCTTTGGTTGGGTTCAATCACTAATTTTTTGACTAGTAGTTGAGTGCTTAATCATTTGTGCCACCTAGGGACTACTTATGGGTGTATTAGGTGTCATTGAGTTGGTTCTGACTCATAGATGCCCTAGACACAACAAAGCAAACCACTGCCTGGTCCTGTACCATTCTCACAAACAGTAGGCTTGAGTCCTTTGTTGCTGCCACTGTGCCAAGTCCATCTCACTGGGGCCCTTCCTCTTTTTCACTGACTCTCCCCTTTACCAAGTATGATGTCCTTCTCCAGGGACTGGTCCCTTCTAACAATATGTCCAAAGTATGAGAGACAAAGTCTGGCCACCAGGCTTCTAAGGAGCATTCTGGCTGTACTTCTTCCAGCACAGATTTGTTTGTTCTGTTGGTGGTCTGTGGTACCTTTAATATTCCTCTCCACCATAATGTTGTTGTTGTCAGGTGCCATTGAGTTGGAACCAACTCATAGTGACCCCATGCACAGCAGAACGAAACAATGTCCGATCCTGAGCCAACCTCACTACCGCTGCCACACTTGATGCCATCAATGATGCCACCTGGCCGATTCATCTTGTTGTAGGTATAATTAAAACTTTCAAGTATATTTTATAGTTAGTATGTAACCATGATACATAGTGCAGCTCATGAATGATGAAAACTCTCAATAATTTTTTGATAATATCAATGAAATGGAAAAGCTATGCACATTTGTACTTACTTTATAGATTAGACTATCCACTAAAAGGTCATGTTGTATCACATTGGTCTTGAGCTGCTCATAATATAGGGCATCCTAAATTTAAAATTAAACAAACAAAAAAATTATTCAAGGTTATTCACATTTATAAAATCAGCCTCAAATTTTAATAAATAATAATCATTAATCATATTACAAACTCTAGGAAGATAAAGACTGTATTCTATTCATTGCTTCCCCCATAGCTGGCTAACAGTAGACACTTAGTAATGATACCTATACCCACCTCTTAGGTTAAGGCCTGGCATGTGGTAGGTATTCAATCAGTGTTTTCTAACTAGATTAGTTATAATTTAACTTTAATGAATATTAAGTACTTCGTAGGTGCCAGATACTGATTTACCCACTTTTTATGAGTTAACTCATTTAATCTCCTATCAATGCAATGAAGTAAAATCTACTGTCATTGAATCTATTCTAAGTCATAGCAATGCCATAGGACAGAGGAGAACTGCTCCACAGGGTCTCCAAGGCTGTAAATCTTTACGGGAGCAGTAGACTGACTTCTCTTCCTCCCACGGAGCAGCTGGTGAATTTGAACCACAGACCTTGTGGCTAACAGCCCAAAACCTAACCCACAATGCCACCATGGCAAGTGATTATCATTCCCACTTACATTTGAGAAACTGAGGTCCTGAGAGAAAAGTAACTTGCTATCCAAGGCTAGTAAGATTAGTCTCTGGAAACCCAGCTCAAGGACCTATATAAAAACCTAGAAGGACTAACCTACCTTTCTAATATCTAGATTATTACTAAATTAAAAGTTTAAATCATCCTTAGTAATAAAAGCAATTGTACAGCATCTCAGAGTCAGTTTTAAAATAATGTTTCCATAATACTTTAAAGCCTGATGAGTTCAATACAATGGTGAGATTAGGCTAATCCTTTAGTAGAGAATAAGATAAAGGGGGAGAAGGAGAAAAAGAAGAGAACAGGGAAGAAAAGGAGAAGAAGGAAGGAAGGAGAAGAGGGACATGAGACTGCAGTGAGGATGAGCGTTGGCTGATAGGTGGTCAGAGCAGCAGGAATGAAGTAGTGACCATGAGGGTAGGAGCTGTGCTAGGGAGACAGAAAGGAAATGCCAGCTCTGCTTTAGCTGGCCCATCTGTGCCTCCAAATACCTCCATTCACGTTTTATATGCATGAACCTTGGTCTCTGTTGTTGTTGATAAGTGCCCTCCGGTCAGTTCCGACTCACAGTGACCCTGTTTTTAGGGTTCGGAGGAGCAACCAATAGCTTTGAACCATCACATTTGGGGTTAGCAGTCCAATGCTTATCCTACAGTGCCACACCAGGATTCTGCTCATATCCAAACACTCTCAAACACTCTCTGAGTCAACACCAATCTGTAAGGTTGTTTCTGAACACGTTCTCCCAAGCAAGTTAGATCTGTGAGATAAGACCTTCTGGAATATGCAGAGAAAGGTAAGGAGTTGAGTTAATCTTTTTAAAAAAATACATACATTTAAATCACAAACATATGTCCATTAAAATAAGTGAAACAGTTTAAAGCAGGATTTTAAAAAAATGATAATCTTTTCTCTCTTTCTTTCATCTCCCTAAAGTAACATATTTTTTTGTCTGTATTGTATCTGTAGTGTAATATGTGTTCTTCCACACCTTTCTCTACACTTAGAAAAATAATAAGTAATTCTGTTTATGAGTTTTAACAAATGAAATCATAATATACTGCAATATTGAAAAAACTGTCCTATAGATTATCATGGAGTCTGCTGTGGAGTTGTGGGTTAGTGCGCTGGACTGCAAAGCCAGTTTGAACCACAAGGTTGGAGGTTCAGACTTACCAACCGTTCCTCGGACACCTATACAGGGCTGCTGTGGGTTGGAATCGACTCGACTACACTTAACAACAAGACGTATTACAACTTATTAATCATTCCACCTGTAGGTAAATGTTCAGCTGTTTCTAGTTGCTTCACGCTACAATTAATGCCATAATAAATATACTTATGTTCACATGCTTTTGTCGGGGACAAATTTGTAAATGTAGGATTGCAAGTGAGGCTGTACATATCCTTAGTTGGAATGCAGATGTAGGACTACTTCGCTCCCCAAAAAAACCCCCCATAAATTCAATGTCTCACCAGCAACACATGAGGCCACACACATTTACCTAAATTCTAAGTTCTCTTAATTTCCTCATGGAAGAAAAGTTGTATCACATTGCTGTGTTCATTTACACTTTTCTAATTAATAATAAAATGAAACATCCTTTTGCGTGCATATTCTGTTGTTGTTGTTAGGTGTCACAGAGTTAGTTCCGACTCATAATGACCTCATCAACAATACCGGACAATCGCCGTTACACTTGAGCCCATTGCTGCTGCCACTGTGCCAATCCATCTCATTGGGGGTCTTCCTCATTTTTGCTGACTCTCCACTTTACCAAGCATGATGTCCTTCTCCAGGGAATGGTTACTCCTATAAAATGTCCCAAGTATGAGAGACGAAGTATCACTATGCTAGTTTCTAAGGATCATTCTGACTGTACTTCTTCCAATGCAGATTAGTTTGTTCTTCTGAAGTTCATGGCACTTTCAATATTCTTCTCCAACACCATAACTCAAATGCATCAATTCTTCTGTGGTCTTCATTATTCATTTTAAATACCAGTGACATAGTTTCCAGCATCACATCAACATACAAGTCACCACAGTGCGACAAACTGACAGATGAGTGGTGGCGCATGTGTATTACTCATGTGCATTTTTTCTTCAGTGATTTGCCTCCCATAATTTTCTCATATTAATTTATAGTCTTCTTTGTTTACGAGGAGAATGAACCCTTTGTGTGTTGCAAATACTTCTTCAAAATATTTGTTTTCTGATTTGGTTATGGTATATATTGCTTTGATTTTTAAAACTCCTTTAGAACTTGAAGATTTTCTTTCTTGCTTTAGGCAAAGCTCCCCTACCACGTGCTTATGTAAATATGCTCCTAAAATTATTTTCTCTACTTTTTCTTTTTTCATTTAAATCGTTATAATCTACTGGAACTCTACTTCCGTAGACAGTAAGTTAATAGACTCTCTGTATGCCCAGAAGGGTCATCAATTATCTGCAACATAAACCATATATTTCCAGTTGAAGTAAAATGCCAGATCTGTATCTACTTCTGAACTCACCATTGTCTTTTTTTCCATAATTGATCTGATGCCTTTTGAACATTTAATTTTTGCTTTGGAAAAAAATGACAAGTTTTATGATACTAAGGCTTTCCACTCAAAAAGACCATTTAGAACTTAGTTGAATAATCCTAGGCAAACTAACAAACTTTCCTGGGCCTCAGAAAACTTGTGATAGAAATGGCACCTTCCCTGTCCGGCTGATGGGAAGCCCACTCAGGTGAAGCGTATGTAATATTCTTAGGACAGTGCCTGGCACCAGGCAAGGACTATATAAATGTTTGCTATTATTGTTCTATGCTCTTCATAAAGTATTACAATTTTTTTATATGGGCTTTCCTGCTCAATTAATCCTGTAGACATTTGAACGTTTTTCTAGTGTAAATAAGATTTTTTTTCCCACTTTCCTATTTCTAATTTGTTATTGATAGCATAAAAAATATTTATTTTCGAATACTTATTTTATATCCCTTTGCTCTCTTACCAAGATTTCTTTTAAAATATACTAGTTTTTGTTTGTTTATTGTTTCTAATCTCTTGAGTTTTCTGGGTATACCATCATTGTGCTTTATCAAGAGAATGAGTGCATTCCCTCTTTCCCAACATGTTGTTGTTGTTAGGTGCCATTGAGTCAGAACTGACTCGTAGCGACCCCATGCACAGCAGAACAAAACAATGTCCAATCCTGGGCCAACCTCATTATCCCTGCCACACTTGAGTCCATCAATGCTGCCACCTGGCCAATCCATCTCATTGGGGGTCTAACTCTTTTTCGCTGACCCTCTTTTTCTCTGACCCAAGAATGATATCCTTCTCTAACGACTGTTCCCTCCTGACAATATGTCCCAAGTATGAGAGTCGAAGTTTGGCCATCTTGGCCTCTAAAGAGCACTCTGGCTGCACTTCTTCCAAAACAGATCTATTGGTTCTTTTGGCAGTCCATGGCACTTTCAATATTCTCCTCCAATACCTAATTCAAAGGCCTCAATTCTTCTACGATCTTCCTTATTCACTGTCCAGCTTTCACGTCTATATGAGGTTATTGAAAATACCATGGCTTGGGTCAGGCGCACCTTAGTCCTCAAGCTGACATCTCTGCTCTTCAACACTTTAAAAAGTTCCTGTGCAGCAGATTTACCTAATGGAATACGTTGTCTGATCTCTTGACTGCTGCTTCCGTGAGTGTTGATAGTTGATCCAAGAAGAATGAAGTCCTTGACAACTTCAATCTTTTCTCCGTTGATAAGAATATTGTTTATTGGTCCAGTGGTGACTTTTGTTTTCTTGACATTGAGATGTAATCCATACTGAAGGCTGTGCTCTTTGATCTTCATCAGTAAATGTTTCAAGTCCTCTTCACTTTCAGCAAGCAAGGTTGTATCATCTGCATATCGCAGGTTGTTAATGAGTCTTCCTCCAATCCTGATGCCACATTTTTCTTCATAGAACTCAGCTTCTCATATTATTTGCTCAGCATACATACAAAAAAGTTTGGTTTACATTTATATTTGAAAGTTGAAGTCAGTGAAAAACACACTTCTTTAGGTGTTATTTACTACAAACACCTATTTATATTGACATTCTGTTGTTATGTACTGTCAAGTTGTTTGTGACTCATAGCGACCATATACAGGGTTTCCAAGGAGTGGTTTGTGAGTTTGAACCACCAATATTGTGGTTCAAACCGATCTTGCAGACTAGTGGTTTATCCCACAGCACCACACCAGGACAAATACTTGCAAATTATAAGTGCTCACAGAGAATTTCATTTTAATTGTTATTATATGCAACAGTTTGCAATTGGATTTGTAATGATTTTCGTGACCAATGCTAAAAGATTAATAAACATTTTATTGCAAGCATGGCATTAAAATTACAATCTTACAACTG